CCGTTCTTCATCTGAACATTTATAATGTTGAATAACAGTTGTGTGCTAATGTAATACTGAAAACCTTAAAATCTCCACTAGTATTGCCTTACATGAGTATTTCATTGGATTATATGCAACAAAATTTGACAAAAACTTGAATTCAATTAACTAACTTTGCTGGCCTGCATATTTGGTGCAGGATCAAGCTATATTTTTATATTGTCTCTTTCCATCATTTACTGTCAAAATAAATTGCCACCTTACACATCTAAAGGTTCTAAACACAACTTATTGTCCTAATTCAAGAGTTTTTGATGTGTACATTTAAGAATAGTATCCATCTCTATTAATTAACTCTTCTAGTTACCGAGTGGAAAATCGCAATGGACCTCGGGATCGCCCCATACAGTGATGTCAGCGTTATTAATTAAGATGATTTAAAAAAATACAAATTGAAATTAAAAAACATACGTACGTTAGTGACCTGAAGCACTTCAAGGATTCCCACTTCAACAACCTCCGCCAGTATAAAGAAGGGTTTGCCGATTGACTTCGTCTGAATGAGGGGTAAATTCCTTCTATCTTTGGAGACGACGAACAGAGCATTTCGATAAGCTGTAAATATCGTTAATAAAAATAAAGTACTTTACTTTTTAAAACACATGGTGGTCATGGTTTAGCAGTACCTTTGTCTTTCTTTGTTTTTGTTTTGAAGTAACGTTACACATCTGCAGTATTATTGTTCTTGAGTTTCATCAATGGTCATTTAGCTGCTTTTCTGATGCTTTTCTAAACGTATCATATTATCAATACAGATTGTTTGTGGAAAGATTAGACCGTAGTCATTTATCTTGTCAGTGTGCTTGTTTTAACAAGATAAATAAGTTAGTCGACTTTCACTAATAACACAAAACAGTAAACTCGTATACCAATACATCCATATGATGAAGAGGTTGTTCTGCAGGTTCGTCGTCGTCTTTATCAACTCGCTCGCTCTGGCTCGAATATGTAAGGCTTGATGGACAAGTCTTCTGTTGTTGACATTTTATTAACGTGTGAATAAAAATGTTCTTTGAAGGTATCGTATATAATCGTATCTCTAATAAATAAAAAAAATTGCATTTTAAACAACCTAAATCAGTTAGAATGGATAAAAATTGTGTTTTGTTTAAATAGATTGTAATGAAGGCCACTATGGTGAAATTTTCTCAATTTATGTTTTTATTAACAAACAAAACATTTTATTATCATAACAAACGCCATCTGACACCCTCTTCAGCAAACTGGAAGCATTCAGGTTGAGTAGGACACTTTGTTAGGGAAAGTGGGACACTATTTACACTTATCGGACCGTTCTCATTTTGTCTGTTTAAATGGGAAAAAATCAAAGATAACGTCAGTAGACGATGGAGTACCGCAAGGATCGGTTTTAGGCCCTCTGCTATTCTCAATATATATGCTGCCACTTGGTAATATTATAAGAAAACATGGAATTAATTTCCACTGTTACGCTGACGACACTCAATTATATATTTCATCACGACCAGATGAAAACACTAACTCATCTAAAATGACAGAGTGTCTCAAAGATATAAAATGCTGGATGACGCGTAATTTCCTGCTATTAAATTCAGATAAAACGGAGGTATTACTTATTGGTCCAAAAAACTACTCACAAAACCTCTCACAGTACAACTTTAATATAGACGGCTGTCCTGTTACTTTATCCACTACAGTAAAAGACCTGGGCGTTATACTAGACCGCAACTTGTCTTTCGAAGATCATATTTCATATGTTACAAATACAGCCTTTTTCCACCTTAGAAACATTGCTAAGCTGCGTAACATGCTATCTATTTCTGATGCAGAGAAATTAGTTCACGCATGCATGACCTCGAGACTAGATTACTGTAATGCTTTATGAGCTGGTTGTCCTGCATCCTCAATAAACAAGCTACAGTTAGTACAAAATGCAGCTGCTAGAGTTCTTACTAGGTCAAGAAAATATGATCATATAACACCGATTTTATCATCTCTACACTGGTAACCTATTAAGTTCCGCATCAACTACAAAGTACTACTACTAACCTATAAAGCCCTAAATGGTTTAGCACCTATGTACTTAACGGACCTTCTTTCGCCCTACAATCCACCGCGTTCCTTAAGATCACTAAATTCAAGGCTTCTGGTCATTCCTAGGATATCGAAGTCCAGTAAAGGAGGGAGGGCGTTCTCGCATTTAGCTCCAAAACTCTGGAATGGCCTTCCCGATACGGTCCGAGCCTCTGACTCGCTGACACAGTTTAAAACTAGATTAAAGACGCTTCTCTTTAGTCAAGCATTCACATAATGCTTACCTTATAGTCCCTGTTATGCCATACGGAACCGTTTGCCACTGAAACTGCTTAACGCACCAGTGGGGCTCGACAGCCTTTTAGACAAACGGGTCGGCGCGTATGGTTGGGTTGCGGAGAGTTCAGGTTACGGAGAGTTTGTGAGTTATAACGGAAATCATTATAAACATCAGCTATGCTAATTATTTCCCATCTGCCTTTCTGCTGTTATCTCGGGACGCTTGTCCCGAGAAAAATGGCGTTCGTCAGGTCCAGTTTTGTGTCCAGCCTCTCACGGGGATTTCGGATGCCCCAACGCCTGTGATGAGACGACTCAACGCCTGTGAAGAGACGACTCAACGCCGGCGATATGTTATGGCGCCGTTTGATTCATAAACAATATTTATATTTAATATTTATATTTAAACAATATGAATGTAAGCCAGAGGAGAACTGGCCCCCGACTGAGCCTGGGTTCTCCCAAGGTTTTTTCTCCATCCAATCTGATGGAGTTTGGTTCCTTGCCACTGTCGCCTTGCTTTTGGCTTGCTTTGAGCTTGCTCAGTTGGGGTTATTTAGTGTTTAGCAATGTTGTTGATCTATGTTGTGCTACTTTCATGTTATCAGTGTGAAGCTGCTTTGATACAATCTGTATTGTGAAAAGCGCTATATAAATAAATGTGACTTGACTATTTTATGCTTAAAATGAACATGAGAATTACAACCCCAATTCCAATGAAGTTGGGATAAAACGTAAACAAAACCAGAATATATGCATTGAAAATGTGTGGCGCATTATGAAGCGCAAAATACAACAATGAACGTCTCCAATTAATCAATACTTTTAATTCGATTTTTTAAAAATGCATTTCTGGAACTAATGCAAAAATTGTAACATTGTAAACTTGACTCTACATTTAATGAATGGAACTTTCATTTAGCCTACATCTTTTAACCACCATTTAACAACTTCAGTGAACACATCCAAGACAGATGAAGTCATCGTCATCCATAAGTCCGTTGAGCTCTCCGCAGGACTCACGATACCACCGTTGGCCAAGTCGCCGCCTGCTCATATTCTTCATTAGCCCCTGCCATTGGGTTTAGCTTTCTTCCCTTCCTATTTTGCAGTCTTTTCCTTTTCTGTATTCTCTCTCTCTGTATGGGTACCATCTTGTGTATGAAATTACCAACCTAAAATTGTATATTCAGACACATTATTATTACTTAACTTTAAAATGCTGCACTGTTTGCTAGCATTAGCCCTAAAACTGTCCCACTCAACCAAACACTGTCAAGTTGAGTGGGACAGTGCTGTGAATCTAATTTTCACAAATATTTTAAAGTTAGATGCTCATTGTTATTAATCTCTAAGACACAGACAGTATAAATATGTAAAAGCAATTAAAAAAAGTTTTATTGTTACATCATAAGTGAGAGAATTATCAACCTTATTGTTCTAAAATAGATTTACACTTGCCGACTGGCTTACTGTGAGGTCCCAGGAGTCAAGAAATGTGAAAAATAACAACTTGACCACATCTGTGATGTTTTCATTTCATTTTTCATTTCATTTTAGTAGAGGATAACCCCTTGAGATGGAACACCTCGTTTTCGAAGGGGTCCACACCAATGTTAAAGGATGTCGCAACCACCAATCACAACCTTTATTTCATATCTAATAGACATTCAGCTACAACACAGTAATAATTGCTGTGATTGGCTTACAAAATGAACCCTTCACAGTACCCAAAAGCTTAAGCTGATGCCCCACTCTAGCTGAATTCACCCTACAATATTGACAGCACTAAACTGCTGAAAACTCGTTTCGAAGAATTACTTTAAACAAGACTACAAGTTTAAAATTTTAAAATGAATAATATTTCTATAATTGTTTAACCATTATTCATCATGTACTTGTATTGTACATTAAAGGACACACAGAACCAGGAAGCTTCTTTCTGTGAGGCGACAGTGCCGACTCTTTCGCCTCGTATCTGCCTTTCTGAAGTAGCAGAGGTCTTTGAGACTCCCAAATGCATCGACACAATGACGAAGATAGGGAACTGGAATTAAAATGCGACAATCACACACAAAAAAACACAAATCTTTATTTGCAATTTAAACAAGACTAGTGCTTTATTAATTATAACATCTGTCATCTTATGGATTGAGAGAATATGTTTCCCCAAAGTGACAGTGACAGACATTGTGTTTTGTTCAGGGGCGCCTGTGCGTTACAAGTCTTATAAAAATAAGATAAAATCAATTATTTTTTTAATATGACCAACAATATCCAGAGTAAATGGCTGGAATACACTACATGACTTTAGCCTAGATTCGACAAGTCAGCCTGCCGATTTTGGGCAGTCAGAGTTCACAGATTTCACAAAACATCCGGTAATGGTAATGTATGATGGGCATTTTGAACAGATTTAAGAACACGTATAGTTTTCATCTGTCATTTGTCTCCTAGCAAAGAGGTGTGTGTTTCTGCAAGAGATTGTGTCTGGAATGACAGTCTGCCAGTGTATGATGCCCAGTTTTCCCTCACATTAATCTTGTGCAAGTATATGATGCCAAGTGTTTTCAGATCCGCTCAGGTTATAAAAGTCCTGTAGTGTGTTCCAGCCTTAACACATAGCAGAACCAGTCTCTTTATTATCCGGTCCAAACACATCATGCTCTGTGTGTCATTCAGGCCAACACACCACCAATGATGACAGCAACTACGACTCCAAGCAGCACACAACAGATAATAATCACGCTTTTCTTCTATATTTGGAAGAGTTCAAGAAAAAAAAAAAATACAAACATGGGGAAAACAGTCCAGGCAGCATGAAGAGTAGAAAAGAAGAGTTACGGTAATGACCAGGCAGAAAGTTCAGGGCATATTTAAAGATTTGAGGAGAGCAGTGGGGGTTTTCCAATCATTTATGACATGTTGTAGATGAATTTACAGATAATGGGACATGCCACAACCTTTATACTGATGTAATCTGTTGAAAAACAGCGCAGTTATAACACGCATTGACTAATGTTAGAGATTAAGGTCTAAGAGAAAGCAGCGATTAGCTCAACGCTGCTATCCTCAATGGCTTCATTTTTAAGGTAAGGAGTGTAGAGTGTGTAACACTGTTGATCCATCATCCCAACTCTCTCCACATGGATAACAAACATGCCACAACACAGACATGTAACACAAATCAATGCAAAAAAAAACAACACAAACAGAAGTTGGGACATAAATAGTGCCTATTAAAAGTATTCACCCCCAGTAGTGTGTATGAAGCACCAAAAATCATTGGGACAAGCAAGCGGTTGATTTCTTACCAGTCACATAAACAGCTTGGAGATAATGGAAATAATTTGTGTGTAATAAACTGATCACTGTGTACTATATTGTGATATATATCGTTATCGGGATATGAGATTTTGGTCTTATTGCCCAGCCCTATTTCATTAATTCCAACAAAGTCACCAACCATACAGATGCTGCATATATTGCACTTACCATATTTTCTCATCGGCACTTTATGGAAGACTGTGACCACTGCTAAACATGTCTGATACAGCGAGACCAAGACTGAGCTTTGTGCCCATCAAACTAATTGCCATGTTTGATGTCCTGTAAGCATATAAACCTGGTGGAGTCATTGTCTTGCTGGAATACAAATGTGTCCAAGCATAAAGACAAAGCTAAACAGGAATAGTTGATACAGCAATGGCAATGTTCTGGAGAGCCCAAGTCAGAGTCCAGATCTCAAATTCATTGTGCTTGAGCTCGACAAACAATGAGCTACAGTATCCACACGGAAACACTGCAAATGATTGATATGGGTAGAATTACTGAAACAAATAATGACAAACTTCTGTAATAGAAAATTTTTCTTGAGTCAAAAAAGTTCCCAGCATGTCTGTGTCTTTGTTCTACTGAATTCATTGGCTATATCACAAATAAGAGAAGATAAGAAAACCGATGGTCCTGAGCTCCAGGTCTACTCCCTTTGTAAAGTCCGAGCACCACTACAGGTGAAGACTCTTGGTTAGCTCAATCCAATGGCTAGAGAGATGATGAGGATGAGAAGACAGACGGACACACAGCTCCCTATCAGGATCAACTTCTGTGGAGGACATTGACAGAAAGCAGAGATCTTCACTTCAATTCATGATATCTTAGTTCTGACAGGACTACAAACCTTATCAACAATTTGCCATTGAGGTTTAGTTCACCCAGAAATGAAAGTGATCATCAATTACTCCCCATTATGTCTCCTTTAGATTATAAGTAGTGGGACTGGTAAACCACTGGAACTAGTTTCAGTAGGGTGTCGCTCTTTCCTTAAGTGTGAAGATCTTCTTCCTAGCAGGAAACCTCATGCCAGATTCAATACTCGCATGTCTTCGAGGATATCCCAGATTGTTTCTCGCTGACAGTTAAGGATGTTGGATTACCCAGCGTAAGGCTGCACCAGTCCTGAATAAGTTCTTGCTGGAACTGGAATGTAAATCCACAATAGAGGCTTAGTAACTAGTTGCACCATTAGTTCTCAATGCGGAAGGTAGCTAGTAGCTCGTAGCTAGTAGCACTCTGTAAAGTAATGTGCAGTCGCATATGACGTTTTCAAAGATCCAAATATGTGAGCGGTAGTGGTGCAACGGATCATCACTGATCCGTGATCCGTTCGGATCAATGTCTTCGGTTCGGCACACACGTGATCCGCGGATTGATTATGAAAAAAAAATAAATAAAATAAAACGTGCGCATGTTGTTCAGTCAACGCACAGCTTCGTCATAGCGAGCGGAGGAACGGAGAAGCTTGAACGCCCCGCGTCATTTCAGGGCTCCAGACCAGACTGCGACCAAAATTTGAGAGTGTGCGACTGAATTTTACATCCAGTCGCACATGTGCGACCAGTAAATTTGCCACACGTTAAACGCATGGTAAAGCGGCGCGTCAATGAATCCGTGACAAGAATAGCGCGCGTAAACATCTGTGGGAGGGAGACGGAGACAAATATCACAACCTGATGTGCGTCTGAGTAATCAGCGATCTATCGACTCGTTAGTCGTTACCTAGCAGCGAATGCAAACAAAATGAAAGTGGAACGAAAATACGCCACTCATTTATGATTAGGACCGTGGAGCTGCAGCAGCGATCCGAACCAGTGACATAAAATAAAGCCCCGAACTTGCCAGTCGCGGGCCGATCTCGCTCACGCAACACTGTTACTAGGAGATCCAGTGAAGAAATCCATTGAATTCGCCTCAGAATTAATAACATCAACACCACGAGATCCAGTGAGAAACACTCCGATTCGGCGCAGAGTTCTGTTATAAACCATATCAGATCAAACAGAGCGGACGTGGAAACCAGGAGAAACACTTATAGAAGGCTTTCAGTCCACAAATCAGCCTATATATGATAATGTGTAAGAAATAGTCAAATGCTTACAAGTAGCCTACTACACATCTTTTCCCAGCACTTCAATAATATCATAAATAAATGTTTTATTTTTTTGAATTTTTTTATGTGATTACCAACACATTTTTTGTTTATCCTTTAAAGATTGTCCTAAAATGAAAAAAGTACGATGATATTTTCACTACTTTTATTAATTGATATTAAGACATTATAAATGATAATAACTAAGTTAATTTCATCTACACCCTAAATTAAGCTTAGTGATTTATTGTTAGCACCAGTCCTACCAGAATTTTTTTTTTTTTTTGTAGAACTCGCTGTGAGTTCTCATTTGAGGTGATGCTGCCCTGAACTTTCAGTCTGGAACCCTGTGAAGTTAAAATAAATCAGAATATCATAATGTTAAGTCTATTTATTATTAAAAAAATTGTCAGTAGGCTATTACAGTTATTTTGGGGGAAATTTGAATAATTGCATTGCAAGCTGATTTAAGGTGTGCCCCTAAATTTTCTGCTTGCGCTCCTAAAATTTTCAGTCAGGGGCAACAGCGCTCCTAGTAAAGTTAGTCTGGAGCCCTGCATTTAAATCACCTGTATGGGACCATTTTGGATTTTCCATCAAATATAACATGAAGGAAAGAGTTGCATAATCAGACCGGGCTAAAGCCATCACAAATGCTATCGGTGTGTTTATAGCTGCAGACATGAGGCCACATTCGGTTGTGCAAAACGAGGGCTTTAAACACATACTGAAAGTACTTGAGCCACGTTACGACATGAACTGTGTTGGATGAACTATCCCGAGCATGTTGCGCTCACGACAGGTGGACTTCTAGGGGAACGGAGCTATGTGACGATAACCGTTATCGTCACATAGCTCTCACCGCTCACAATTTAAAAGTGTTAATAATCAAAAAGACAAAACTTATGTTTATTTGTCTTGTCTTTTTTTTTTTTTTTGCTGATCCGAAAAATGATCCGATCCGTGACCCTGATCCGAGAAACGATCCGATCCGTGAGTTTTTTGATCCGTCGCACCCCTAGTGAGCGGAAGTTGAGCCGAACGATGTGAATTTATTAGTGAGCTAGACTGTAACTGGTTAACGCTCACAATTACAGCTAGCCATCAAATTATGATATTAACTTTTTGCAAATATACAAAGGGAAAACAAATGCCATTCATGCATGATAAACACACTATTTGAAAAAAAAATTGCGAAACACCTCATCACTCGTCTTGCCGCAGCAGTTTCCATTCTCGAATCACTATCTCGTGTGATACTGCAGCAGGTTGGGCCACGGGTGATCTGACAATTGATATGATGTCAGGTGCAGGGGGCGTGGCCTCTGCCAGTGTTGAGCCCACCCACAAGGAGGGACCTACTTTAAATGTTGTTTACAGTCAGTAACTGAAAATCCTATATAGTGCACCTTTAAACTCTTTCAGCATGTTCAGACATGATAGATCTGCTTGTCCATTTTTGAACATAATCTGGCCATCTTGTTGTATGTCTTGCAAGCTTGCAAGAATTAACATTAAAGTCATCTGTCATTGTCCAACTGGACCGGTCCTCTACTTCTGACATGGTGAATTGTCAGTTCCTCTTGTCCAACAACCTCACTGATCTGGTCAGCATGGGAATAGCCCTTTGCTGCCTTGACTTGCTCCAGCTCTTGATGTGTTCAAGCCTGATGATCCTCAGCTCATTGCTCATGTCTTTGGATGAAGTTCAGCTCAACCTTGCAGATTCATTTTCCCCTGCATGTCATGGGAAACTGTGCCTGGTTGATTTTCATTGTCTTTTTGTGTATGAGAGGTGGCCAGAGAAGTTCAAGTTCAATACCTTTATTTGTCCCCTCAGTGGGGCAATTGATTTCACAGCATAGGAGCACAAACTTACAGACATAAATGCACATAGTATAATAAATAAAAAACACATAGTATAATAAAATAACATAATGCACATTCTAATCAATTCTAATCAAAGATGTGTAAGCTACCTTACCCTCCTTGCATTTAGAACGTTTATTATAGTGGATTTAGAAAGATTTTACGAATGAGAAAACAAATCGACCCATCTGCGTTAGAATAATGTTGACAGCACACAGACAAAGCTTCACATAACAGTATAAGGAATGGGAATGAAAAAAGGCGGGAAGCGAGACAGATGTGCAAATGCTCATGCAGGACAGATGGCGTATCTTTCACTCACCCTTCGTGTATTACTCTGGTACTTTACAGCCTTTGTGGTCTCTTGCACTGCGTCCCTAATGAAATCCACTGAAAGCTCCACGTTATACTCTATACAGTCTATCATCTCTCCCTGACCAGAACGGCAGCAGAGAGGAAGGAAAGAAAAAGAGAAAGGTGATTTCACAGCACTATAGTTTGCTATATCTCACCTTCCTGCTAGTCTTCCGGACTTTGACAGCTGCTTTGGTTTGCTCTTTGGCCTTTTCCACATATTCCTGAGCACTGCAGACATTCTTCTCTATATTGTTTATTAACTCACCCTAAAAGAAGACAGGAAAATACAGCTCACTAAACCATTAATCTGGAAAACAATAAACACTAAATAAAACTTTTGATTTTAATAATGTATTAGTAAATGTTAACATTAACTAAGATTATAAATTCTGCAGAAATATTGTTCATTCTTAGTTCTTGTTATCTAAAGTAGTTAACTAATGAAACCTTCTTGTAAAATGTTACCAAGCCGCTTATACCAGCCTCCTACGCTTCTGCTGCTGCCTCAGAAGACACAGTGTCATGATGGAAATAAGATAACATCTCTATTGCAAACCCCTCTATGTTGCAGTTGTTGTTGTTGTTTTTGCCGTATACCTACTTCATTGCCATATAAACCAATGCAACCACAAACCAGATATTCTGGAAATACGGATCTGAACGGTTGCGAACAGACAATAATTTAGATCAGATTCCAATCGGATACACAAATAATCGGATTGAGACAGTGTGAATGTAATCTTAGTAACATTAAAGCAGTGTTGCTGTTAATGAGATAATTATGTGATTAATTAAAAGGGTCATGAACTGAGAAATCAAAATTTCCTTGAGCTTTTGACATATAAGTGGTCATATACTATAAGAATATCCTGTAAGTTTAAAAACTGAAAACTTCTTGTTAGTACATATACAGCTTTTATTTTGACCAAGCCCAGTGAACGACTCATTGTGGAATGTGCCTATATCCACATAGTAATGTTTTTCTGGGCCAGATCTGGTCTACACAGCCCTTTTTCCATGGCACAGAGGCCATAAAGAATGACAGTCCTGGAGTGTCATAGACCTGGGTTAAAGACAAGGGCCACACATAGGCCATAACTGGACAGAGTCTCAGCCAATTATTGACCCATAACTGGACCTGCACTGGGCCTGAATAGGTTTTAGTGTTGGTACTGATTATCATAATAAAGTTATAAATCAAAAAAATATATAGAAATATGAAATAATAAAGTTTGATACTCAAGTTACCATTGTGGTGATCAGTGTTTGCTTTAGTTAGGCCCTTGACATTTTAACATGAGTTTTTCTCTGGTTGCTTTAACTGTGTGTTTCTAATGCATGTCTGTTACTGCAAAAAAATGCTTAGCAGATATTTTTGGTCATCATTTAGTGGCTTGATTTATTACTACCAGAGTCTCTGATTAAATTGTTTAATAATAATTGTTAATTTCATAAGCGAATACTACTGCAGAAATTCCTGAAGTGCGGTGATACTCTGAAAAATGTTTATTATGAATACATTTTTACAGGACCATTTAGACTCACACAGACATCAATAATCATTGTATGAATCTCAACAATGAAGACAAATATTAAGATCAACTCTGAACGTCACAAAAAAAGCTTTGTTTATTATCACCATTGTTGAGAGTCATATATTAATAATTGATGTATCTGTGTGCCTAAATAACACAGCTCAAAATATTTTCTGTATGACTTAAAACAAATTAGAATACCAGATTGTCATAATACTGATGCTACGATATCAAGTAAATCTGTACTGCTACTGTAAATCATGTGAAATGAACTGCTGATGTATTCAGATTGACAATATCACACATGATGACAATATCATCATCAATACGTGGCCCACTTCATCTGAGGAGATTTTCTCCTGGACTTTTTTGCCATAACAAATGTGTTTCAGAAACAGAGAGTTTAGGGGTTAGTTCTGTCATTAATTACTCACCTTCATGTCGCTTCAAACCCTTAGGAACTTTGTTTAATTTCGGAACATATTTTTGATGAAATCAGAGAGCTCTCTGACCCCTCCATAGACAGCAATATAGTTACCACTTTCAAGGCCCAAAAAGGTAGTAAATTTTACATTGTTAAATAATCCATGTCACAAAAGTGGTTCAACCTTCATTTTATGAAGCAACGTGAATATTTTTTGTGCGCAAAAATAATGACTAGGATCATCTAGGGTAGGATGTTTGAAAATATGTGCTGATGTTGCCAACTCCTTGTGCAATTATTACAGACTGGTGGTATCACTGAATTCATAGTATGAAATATCCCAAAACATTGCTTTTGGTACCATCTATTAGTCCTGTATTGCTCAGTCAAAACTAAAACAAAACCAAAGTGCACAATGTGGTACAGAATAGAATTAAAACAACATAACAGTGCATGGTATTTTATCAAGGCAATGTATTTCAAATAGCATCACTTAGTCTAGGTGAGCCATATCAATTGTTTAGAATTTCATTCATTTAATTAACAAACAACTTCTATTCCAAGCGAACCAACAAAAAAATAAAACCAAAGTGCATAGTATGGTACAGAATAGAATTATTAACAACATAACAGTGTATGGCACTTTATCTAGACACATTTCAAACTGCATTCAACAATAATACCACATCAAAATGGCAAATTGTCGAAATGGCATTTTTTGACTTGGCAAAAGCAGTGAAGTCAGGTGTATATGTTGTCAGGGCAATGCGCAAGCAGTGTTACAGATGCTGGTCAGTGAGGGACAGAGACTGAAACTTGCCAGCTTTTTTCCAATTTTGAAGACCGGATAAACAACAGAATCTCCCCTCTTTGTTCTCAAAAACGTTTCAACGCGTTTCTAATGTCATGAATGAGCAAATCTTTATATTCAGCAGACATGTCAGTCAACAGCTTGTGGAAAAGGCAATGCTGTAAACTGGAGGTACAACGGATGAAGATTACAATTGCCATGACAGAGTCCATGGTCTCTTTTAACTGACCACTGAGCTTGGCACACAGGAGGCTTTGGTGGATGAGGCAATGGAGAGATCTCACCTGCGGAGCCACACCTGCCATCCTCCCGGCGAGCCCCTGATCCCTGCCCACCATCGAGGGCGCTCCATCCGTCACCAACATGTTGACCGGCGGCAAATCCAAGTTGTTCTCTTCAAAGAATGAAGCAATTTTGGTGAAGAGAATCTCACCAGTAGTGTGCCCCTCCATGGGAATTAGTCCAAGCAAATCCTCACCAAAACCTTCCCCATCAAAAATCGCAAAAAGCTGTGCAACATCACTGTTATCAGTCGACTTATCAAAAGCATCTTGAAAAACGTCCGATACAAAGGACTTGACTCTCCTCGTATATGACGGGTCAGAAATTGGAATTAGTTTGATCGAATCAGTATGTTTTTTCGGGTTTTCTCCTCTGTCACCACCTCCTCAATGGATGCCAGCATATGGCGCTTTTCCACTCCTGGTACGGCTCGGTACGGCTCAGTACGACTTGGCACAGCACAGCTCGGTTCACTTTAGCTCGGTTTGCATTTCCACTGCAGTTAGTACCGCTTCAAAGTGGGTGGGATTATAGTCTGACCATTATAGTTTATCCGCTCCTCGGCAACCAAAGAGTGGAACTGACCACGATTCAGCTACTTATTTTTTTGGAAGTTTTCTTTCTTTCTTTTTTCTTCAAGCAAGTAGTTTTAAAACAGGTGCTGCAGTGGTGGCTGTTACTGGCAATTTAAATCTAGCAGGTTTGATGTCTCACAAATACAATGACGCTGGTAGTGACGATTCTGTCTGACTCTGACCAATCAGTGATCTACAGTGTGTTCACGTCACATTTTAGTATCGGTATGTTACGCTTGGAACCTCAACAGAGGTGTTACCATTGTGAGCCATACCGTACCATGCAATGAAAAAGCGACACATGTGAGCCGTACCGAGCCGAGCTGTACCATACCATGCAGTGGAAAAGCTCCAAAGCGTGCCGTACAGAATCGAATCGTACCGTACCATGCAGTGGAAAAGCGCCAATAGACTCCTTGACTGTCTCTGAGTCTGTAAACGGCCTTTTCTCTTTATCCATGCCACTCGTAATTATGCCAAAGTTGCTCTCTCTTGATCCGTACAGGCCCAAAACATAATCCGACGTCTTTGCTCAAAACAAGATGTAAGCCCTGTTATCTTTTACCTCCGAGCAGCAGAGCCCGGTGCGAAAGTAGCATCAAAGTTAGCATGCACCGTTTGAAAGGCCTTCTCAAATTATACTCCTTGCACACGGCGACGCACTCGTTGCAGATTAAGCACACAGGATTCGCATCAACGGCAATAAACACGTATTTCTCTGTCCATTCATTGTTGAACTGTCAACTGTCATTTAATATTTGTTGTTAGTGGCAAGTATTTTCACGTGAATAAATACATAGATCCGACTATTTTAAGAGTGTATTTAAATGGTCCAGTGGCAGAACTTTTGTCAATGTGTCTGAGTTTCTGGGTTACAATCCGCACTCGAATAGGTTTTTTTTTCCTCATCAAAATCGATTATGTTTATCAGTGGTTGAATATTAGGCAGGGAAACGTTTGTGTGCATTTTGTTTCGTAATTTCACCGGAACGTACAGTATATAGTGTCGGTACACGATCTGTTCCACCTGCACGATCCGTTCTACGCATGCGCAGTAGACGCAGTAGAAAACACGCATGCGCAAATGATAATTCTGTTTTGCGACGCTACTTTTGATTTACGACACTGCACGATCTGATCCACGCATGCGCATGTTTGTCCAACGGAAGAAATGAGCGAAATGAGAAGTTTGCCCTTTACGCTGCCGTTAGACAATATTTGGTTGACGGTTTGGTGGAGGCGGCGTTGAAGAAGAAGGTTTCACGAATGGCTGCAAATTTCGTTATAAGAGGTATGTGAGTGCATAGACAACATCATATAGATACACGGCCTATCGACCGCCACTGCCTGTTGGCGCGGTCGTCTATGGGCGCGGTCGAGCCGTGGGGCTGCCATCTTAGACCAGTCACCCGCTGTAATCTGTGTGGCAGGTGCAATGAGCTGTCAGCGCATTGAATTAATCGTACCTCCCTGAAAACCGAACTGATTTTCAAGCGGTTTTTTTTTTTTTTTTGTTGCTGCAAAGGTCATTTAAGTTATGTAGCTATGATGCAGGACACATGGTTCGGCTAATTTTAATATTTTTAGTAGGTTTAACAGTAATATAATATTCTGGTATAAGATATAAAGTGACCATGCA